GGGCAGGGGCTGGGGGGGCGCCGGCCTGCCTGCACTACGGGGACAGCGGCCTTCCAGATGGCATGGATCCCAAAAGTGCCAAGGCCCGTGTATACCTCGTGGTGCGGACCCGTTGCATCCGATGAGCATGCGTATCACATGCTTCGACGCGCAAGCGCCCGCTGTGCAGCGACGGCGCCAGGTTATCCTGGGGGGGCTTGACGGCCCTTGATCATCGTTCGACCTGCTGCGTCATGATCTCATGTGATGAGGTCCTCAAGCGCCTGCGACATGGCGGCGCCGCTCTATCCCGCGTTGAAGCCAGGAATGATCCCAACACCAACAACTTGGACTGCGCGCATCCCAAACTCACACACATGCAACACGTCCCTGCGCTCGTGCACCCATGCGCGCACGCTCAACGCAAACACATGCACACGCGCACGTACCATCTCACCTCACAACCTCCCGTCGACAACCCCCTCGCCTCCAGGTGCGCCGCTACCTGTCCGCATGCAAGGTCGTCCACCTGACCAAGCCCTCGGTGCTGATCCCCCTGATGGGAACGGACCTGGAGACACGGGAGCGCACCCACGTGCCCGACGGCTTCTGGCGCGGCGTCGCGGCACAGCTGCGGCTGACCGCGGAGCAGAGGGAGGACGTGCGGGCCATGGACGCGCTGTACAAGGCCCAGATCGGAGGGTGGGTGCGGCAGGCATGCTGCATGCGCTCTGCACATGCATATGAATGCAAGAGCGCACTCAGCATGCATGCACGCGTGCATGCAGCATGGGGGCCACCCATGCGCTGGCTGATGCAGGGCGTGGGAGTGCATGATAAAGGCGGGCTCCTTCAAATTAGCTGGGGCTTGCTGCGGCGGCGGCGCGTTAACCGCGCGCTGCGGTCGCATGCGGCTGCCAACGCCCCGCAGGGTGATGGAGGAGCGGGCCCAGTTGCAGGCCCAGCTGGCCGGCATGGCGGCTGACGACAGCGCCGCAAGCTTTCTGAGCAGGTGTGCACCGCCCTGCCACCTGCTTTCACGGACTCTGCAGTTGTGCTTTGCCGCGCCCCGTCTGCTTTGCACCAGGCGTGTCCAGCTCTGTTATCGCAAGGGGTGCATTCTAGGTGGCGGTGTTTACCTCAGCAAGGCACAATTGGATGCAGGACATGCCCGCAACCGTCAGACGACCCGGCCAACCCTCGACCAGCGCTTCCTCCTCTCATCATCCCATTGCCCGCAGCACCTCGGGCCCCACCGCCGCGCTGGAACTCTCCAAGGCGCTGGCGACCAACATGGCCAAGGAGGCGGCAGCAAGGCGAGCCGCGGCTGTGCATCCTCTTGCTAGGAGCCAGCTTCCGCTCGGCACACGCGGGCCCCCTTCGCTCCTTTGCTCGCCTTCGTGCGCACGTCCCGGCCCCCCTCAAATGCCGTTGCCCCTGCCCTCAACGCCGCGCCTCCCCTGCGGCCGACGCCCGTTGTGACCCCGCAGGGGCCTGCTCTACGCGCTGGTGTTTGAGCAGCTGTTCACGCCGCTGCAGATGGCGCGCGCCGCAGTTTACAGCTGGCCCTTCATCGCAGACGTGAGCCCACATCAACGCCCGCGCTCACGCACGTGTGCGGGTGCCTATGTGTGCAAGAGTGCAGATCTCAACACCTCCTGCTACCTGCGGCGGCTGTCTCCTGCGCATCTCCTGCCTGCCAGTGTGCTCTGGTGCTGATCAGGCCGCCGGCGGGCTCCCCCTTGCGCCCCCACGCATTTCTGCAGGCCCACCACATTGTCAAGGCGATCTGCTCCTTGGAGCCAACGCAGCCTGAGGCGGCCGGGCTCGCGGGTCCGGCTGGGGGTGGCAGCTGATGCGCTGCCGCCGCTGCATGGCAGGCATGGCGCCTCGGCGCTGTCTTGTGGCCGGGCCTGGTCATCCCTTGATCAGATGCATGGAGGCATGACGCACATCGAACACACACTGTGCGCCTTGCATTATGGAACAACTGAACTAAACAACTGAACCAAGAGATGATGGGGTGAGCGTGTGATCGCTGACCCTGCCAACGGCTGTGGCATGCTGATTTTTGCTTTTTCAGAATGTCGGCGTTTTGCGTGAGGAAACGCACAGGCAGCGGCGCCTCGCATCCAGTTTGTTTATGGCGCGATCGCCGCTGCGCCTGAATGAGGTGCGGCTTGCTGATCACTTCAATCATATGCAATGCAGTCTGAGTTGCACGCGTGCAGATGGACTGAATCTGGCGCGTGTGCGTGTGTCCGTTCTGCTCCAACCAATGCCGCCTCTTGATATGCTGCCATGTGCATGAGCAGCTGAACAGCGCCCTTGCCCCGCGCCCAGATGCCAGGGAGGGACCTGGGGGGTCCTCGGGCGTCGCCTGCGCTGCGTGACCATTAACAACGTGAAGTTTGGCAGCCCTCTGTTCTTGAACACCCTTTCATAAACTTCCCTTTAAGCTTTTTTACATTGAAGCGGCCTTACGTGAATTTATTTTAAGGCGCAAGGCACTCAGTCAATGGAGCTGTGCTTGCAGGCGCAAGTGCGACCACACAATATCAAACAGCGTGCCAGGCGTGGCCGGCTGTTGGCCTTGGCCAATGGGGCATTATTGATGGTGGGCAACGTTATGCTGGCTGACCACCATTTGGCGAAGCTTCTGCCAAAGCATTGCCTCGTACCCCACGTGCGGGCCTGCACATGTCGACGGGTTGCACGCATGCGCCGAGGACGCGTGCTTGCTGTGCACGCCGCAGCCTGCGATTGGCGTGTGCCTGTGACCCTGAGCGAGCGGTGGTTCAGCTGGCTGCAAGTGCGATTGAACGGTATGGCAAGCCGCCCCTTATTGTTTAGCTTTTCTTGCAATGAAATGCAGCATCTGGCTAGCCACTTGACGCCACTAGACGTCAGTAGGCTGTGAGTTGTCCTGCAATGTAATGCAGTGGGGTTTCTGACACGCGCCCAACTCACAGAACTTGCCCGCGGTGATCTCTTTTCGCCGTGGTCAAGTGCAGCGTGTTCCAAGTTCAAGTATTTGGGCTCGCTTGTTGCCTCTGACTGCACATTTGAGGTGGATGTCAGCGCGCGCATTGGCAAGGCAGCTGCTGCCTTCCAAGGGCTGCGGCATGTTTGGGATGCCCCCACAGGTGTTTGGGGTGGGCCTCAAGTCTGTTGTCTACAAGACGTGCGTGCTTCCCATTTTGCTGTTTGGCAGTGAGCCGTGGGCGCTTCCCAATGGCCTGGTCAAGCGGCTAAACACCTTTCATGAAGACTGCCTACGGCAGATGTTGGGTGTGCGCCGCAGCGACCGTCAGAGCAGCGCACATATCCATGATCGTTGCGCAGAGCACCCCATTGTTAGCTACCTGTCTGTTTGTAACAGGCTGCGCCAGCTGGGTCACACGATGCGCATGACCCACACTCGTCTGCCCAAATTGGCGCTTTGGAGCGCCGCCCCCGGCCCGCGCGCTGTGGGGCGGGCGCGCACGTCACGGTTTGACGTAGCGAGGCGAGACTGTGCTGCCATAGGAATCGATGTCCCCGTTCACCTAGATGACCGCTGCTCTAACCGCCCCGCTTGGAAAAGGCTTGCTTATCTCTCCAGCCAAGGAGCCGTGCGCCCTCTAACTAATTCCCGACTTGGCCGCACCCGCTTTCTCCTCTGGCCATTACGATTACTGTAGGGGCGTTACCCCTTTGGGTAGCCAGGGTTTTTTCCCCTCGCTGCTGGAAAAGCGTGATGGAATGTGATGGAATGTAATGTTTCTGACACTGCAGGCGCTTCTCGAAGGTCACAGCAGGTGGTGCTGGTCGTAACAGGTGTTGCGTTTCTTGCGTGCAACGCTGTAGTAGCTTGACAATAGGCACAACAAAACCCTGAGACGACTGCTCAAGGCTTGCGCGCGGTGTGGGTTTGATTGCGATTTTAGTTTGCAGGATAACGGGACCCTGAAGGCAAAACCTCGCAACACTGAAAAGGACAACACCAATGCAGGTGATGAATTTTGCAGGCTGGGGTGGGGCATTCGCTGTGTTGTCAACAAGGGGACAATGAAGAGAGGACAGCTGAAATGACACTGTCCAAAAACACGTGAGCTGGAAGACAGTCAGCACATGTCACGTCCCAAGGGGCCCGCAGCAGGGGGCAAAACCATTGCTGATGTCAACAGTCAACGGGTGGAGTGTTGCTCTCTAGGCTAGCAGCCATACAAACATTCAGCACTTTGTCTCAGTTAGGCTGCTTGTCGTGACAGGAGGGGGGATCGCGGAGCCTGGCTCGTCGCCTAGTGCCGACCTTGGGAGCCTGGTGACGATGTCCTTCCCTTGACAGTTGCAGCAGTAGCACTGGCCCTGCAACTGCAGCACCCTCCTGTGCACCCCCTGCAACCGTGGTGGATGACTTGCATTTTATTTATCGTTCAGAAGCTGCGCCGATCTGAATCGTGTAGTGCCGCTGACTCGCCGTACTCGCTCCAAATTCAAATTCGACATCGCAGCCAAGCCTAGCGCTCACCCTGGCGCACATTATCAATAGAATGTGATCATAGGACGCGATCTTAGCCAGAATCAACAGTTTAGGTCACGCGAAACTGTGGTGATCTGGCGGGAAGCAGTCCTTGCGAGCCCAGTGGCCAGCTCAAAACAGCTGAAGTATGCAGTTGATGCAAGATTTGAATGGATTGAAGCAGGCGTGGCCCCACCGGGAGCAGCAGGTTGAGCTACTGGCACTGCTGCTGCAGCGGCATGCGCCGGATGTGCTTGTGCACGGGCCGCCATGCACAGGCAAGACGGCCATTGCGAGGTGAGGGAAGCATTCTCACTCACCGCATGCATGAGCACAGTGATCCAACGCCGCACGTTCAAGCACGAATAACGCCCTGCTCCCTGACAGCCCCTGGGGGCGTCCCGCGGCCACCCACAACGGCAACGCAGGGCCGTCGCAGAGCGGCGCCCGCACGCCTATCTGCGCTGCACGCGCTCCTCCAAGCTCCGCCAGATCCTGTCCTCGGTCCTCAGCCAGCTGCAGGGCGGCGTCGGTGCCGGCGCCGGCGTCGGGGCAGGCAAGCGCAGGCGGGCGCAGGGGTATGCCGCGCCGGGCGGCTCGGAGGCGACGCTTATTGCGGACCTGCAGGCGGTCTGCGGCGCCGGCACGGGCGATGCAGCGGCGGCGGGCAGCGGGCGCGACCAGCAGCAGCAGCAGCAGCAGCAGCAGCAGCAGCAGCAGCGGTTGGTGGTCCTGGACGACGTTCACCACCTGCTGATGGCGGACGACGCGGCGGCGCGGCCGGGGGACGGCGCACCCGTGCTCCGCGGCCTGCTGCAGGTGCACAAACGGGCCCTTGATCGGGGCACGTGCCGCGCGCAGACGGCTGCAGCCTCGGGCCTCTCGCGCGCAGCGCACAGAGCAGCCGCGCCACGCATCGCTTCTGCATCGCGGCGGCTCGCCTTTTTGACGAGAGGGTGGCCACAGCTCCCTGACTGCTCCAACCTCGTTTCAACAGCACACTAATCTCTCCCCTCTGCCAATGCCCCCGCCTCCCAGCTGCGGGAGCAAGCCGGCCTGGCCATGTCATTCGTCCTTATCAGCGGCGCAGACGCCGGCGCCGGGCCGCTGGCGTGCCTGGGCCAGTGCTGCTCCCTGCAGGTGTGGTGACTCATCACCCGCCCACCCCCACAACCTGATGGCGCCACGCAGTCACGCAGCCTGAACGAGACGGCGCAATTCTAGGAGACAGCAGCAACCCACACGCACCCATCAGCCTTGGATGTGCGGTACCTCAAGCGTGCGCATGCACGTCGCCATCCCTCTTCCCAGGTGGTGGCGTTCCCTCAGTACACAAAGGACCAGCTGCGTGACCTGCTGCTGCGGTCCGCGCCCTCCGGCACCGACGCCGGCCTCTACTCCCGCTTCCTCGAGAGCCTGCTGCTCGCCTCCACCACCAAGGCGCGCGCAGGCCCGCGCGTGCGCGGCGCTTGCAGCATCGAAAGGGTCCCGCAGCTGGGCCCTGTGTGCTGGGGTAGCGCCCCATCTATCAGCTGTCGTTTGACTCGTGCGCGCTGCCGCCCATCGCAGGTGTCGTTGTGCCTCGCAGACCTGCGCAAGGCGGCGGCGCAGCTGTGGCCGGCGTATGTCAAGCCCCTCGGGATCCAGGTGAGGCTTGGGAAGACGAACGGGCAATGTTGATCTGGCAAGCGGTTGCAGTTGCTTGGCCCGGAATGCCACCAGCTTGCGTCATTCCCATACATGCTGCACAAACATCTGCCATCTTGCGTTGCCATGCAGGCTGGGGCACAACAACAGCAGCAGCAGCAACACGCGGCAGCCGCGTGCGAGGACCGGGTGGCCGAGCTCTTTGCCGCCGCGAGCTCGCGAGCAGCGGCGCTGGCGCGCACCTTTGAGCCGGGCGCCGCCACGGCCAGCGCCGCGCCGCTGGCTGGCGCGGCGGGCGCGGGGGGCGGCGAGTTGCTTCTGCAGGGCCTGGGGGGATCGGGCGACCTGGAGCTGCCGTTGATTTCCAAGTTCCTGCTGGTCTCAGGTGCACAGCGTGCACAGCCATGCGCCTGGGAGGGGCCAGCAACACAGAGGCCCGGCGGGCGACTCACGGCCGTGCGGTTGCCATAGTCGCCGTTGCAACGCTCACGGCGCTTGCCTGCACCCGCCACCAGCGCGTTGCCGCAAGGTTGATGTGTGCGCGCCTCCTCTAACAACGGGAGCTCGTCCCTTTTGACACACCCCAAAGCCCACCTCAAGGCCCTCCCTCTGGTGCCTCGCCCCCCCCCCCCCTCCCCAGCTTTCCTGGCGTCCCGCAACAAGCCCAGCGTGGACAAGCAGCTGTTTGAGAACAGCAGCGGGTCGCGGCGGCGCGGCGGCGGGCGGCGGAGGGGGGGCCAGCAGTCGCAGGACCGGCAGGTGGGGGCTGTGGGCGCGCGCTTTTCCGCTGCTACGCAGCTCACTCAAACATTCGGTAGGCGCCTGCCAAGCCTGGGCAGGCTGTGCAGGCCGTGCTGAAGAGCTGAGCCTTAAACAACCGTGCCCACCTGCATGTCTGACCTGCTTGCCGCGCCCCAACTTGAACACCACGGCCGCAGGCCGAGGCGGCAAAGGCGGCCCAGCTCAAAGGGCCCCACTCCTTCACCCTGCAGCGGCTGCTGCACATCTATCGCATGCTGCGGCGCGCCGACCCCGGGAGCGCTGTGGCTGGTGCGGCGGATGGCGGCAGCGGCGGTGGTGGCGTCGGCGGCTCGCACGCTGGCCCGACGAGCGCGGCTGCGGCGGCGGCCGCGGCGCTGTTTGGCGGTGGGGCGCGCGGGCCACCCGGCGCCGGCTCGTCGTGGGCACCCCCGGCCGGTGCAGGCTGCAGCTGCGATGACGACGGGGCCTCTGCACTGGACGTGGATGGCGCGGCGCTGCTGTCAAGCGTTGCTGGGCTCGTTGGGCGCCGCATGCTGAGCGGCGGGGGCGGCGGCGAGGACGCGCTCGGCGCGCCACGGTATCAGTGCGAGGTGCCGGCGGCGGTGGCGGAGCGGCTTGCGGTCGAGCTGCGCGTGAACCTGGCGGCTTACCTGCGGTATGTCTGACGCGCTGGCCACGTCATGCATTGCCATGCGGCGCCATGCGGTGCCATACGGTGCCATGCGGGGCCATGCGGACGCAGGGCGCTGTACTGGCCCCAAAATGCTTTGAGGCGTGATGCGCGTGGCGCCGCCAGCGGCACGGAGCAAGACGTATGACGGATTCTGCGTTATAGCTGCTCCCCCTGAAGCAACTGTGTTGCGCCCCAAGGGAAGGTTCGCATGCGGAAGCAGTGTGCACGCAGAACCAAAATCGGGCAGTTCAGGCCGTTGGTGACTGGCGCAGGTAGCCCTCCAACCTGATGCAAATCAAGCAGGGGCGATGCCTAGCTGCAATGGGAATGCACTTCCAGGACATCCTTTGTACTAGGGTCGCTAATAGGTAGGAGGCGATCGACACAGGCGCGCAGAGTGTGCTGTGCTTCGTTGGCTGGCATTGGCAGCAGGTGCGCGGGTGGCTTGCTTGTCGGCAGGGCCCATGCCGCATGACCCACCCATGAGGTGTTGGCCAGCGACGAATGCTTGCAGATACTACCGTAAGGTTGATCAAATCAAGGATGCCGCAACAGCGACTGGTACGGTGATTTTCAGCAATATGGCGCCCAAGCGCGCCACGGGCTCGGTGGTGGCTCTCTTAGTGCTTTCAACGCTCGGTAAAGCAGTCGTGGCAGCACGGGTGGATCTCAGTAGTGATGTATCAGGTGATTTGAAGCGGTCAAGCTGCGCACTTGCTGCTGATGCCTGGGCCGCTGGATGGACGGAAGCAGGACGACGTTGGCTCGAATGATATAAGCAATTCACGCAGGTTTGATCGTGGACGGAGCAGGTCCCACAGCGACAGACACCGCTTTGCGGTCGGCGCAGCAGGCGACAGCTGCGGAACCGCTGATCAAATGGCTTGCGCGCAAGCCGGGCCGCAGGTTCGGGCTCGACGACGATCACATCGTTGAGGCTCATGGTGAGGCGGCGGCGAAGTACGTTGCTCTGCCAGTCTTCAATTGGATGGCCACATCTTGCTTTTGGCGGGACCCGCGGCTCTGTCGCTGCGGCTCTGCAGTTTGGCATGGCAGAGGCGCGATCGGTCATGCCCACTGGAAAGCACCTTGTACAAGGTGCAAAACCAAAAGGACGGCCACCAACAGCTAGGGGCCGCATGTGCGGTGGCTGCGCCCGCACGCACGCAGGCAGCTGCCGTCTGCACGTCTACCACCCGCCGCCCCCCTCGATGACGGCGACGCTGCTGTGCAATGGGCGCGACGACGCCGAATGCATGGAGCCCTGCATTGAGGGCTACACACGGAGGTCCAAGGGTGAGGCGCATGTCGTTGCGTCATACGGCGCGTCACGCAGCAGCGACACCGAGGGCCGCGAGCTGAGTCGCATGAGGATGGCACCGAAGCCTTGGATTTGGCCCCGGAACAACGCCCTGCTGCTGGCATGCGCCAGGACACCACTCGTTGGTGATCTGGAAAACCTAGTGGATATGCTACTGTGCTGTTGACCAGGGCTCCCCCGGCCTCTCCCAGGTCTGTGTCACCAGCACTGCCCCGCGGTGTCGGGCCACCTGGACCCGAGCGCGCGGTGCCCTGGGGTCATGACTTGCGTCCGGCCCAGCGTCAAGTGCCCGGCTCGGACTGAGGACGTCCCGTACTGGTGCCCCTCTCCAGAGGCGATCGTAGGTGCGTGTCCGGGCGGCGCATGGTGGTGCCTGGCTGAGGTGGTCACCGACACGACGCAGCTAAGGGCTGCTGCAGCAGCCAAGAATGGGCTAGAGCTGGCACGAACCGAGCGGCGGTACAATAGGCCGCACAGCGCACGGCGAGGCATGCGCCCTGACACATCAGTACGCTCGTGCCGCAGAGTCGTGTGCGCGGCACGAGTACGTGTCCCCGGCGGCGAAGCGGCCCAAGGACGCGCCATGCGGCGGCGCCATGTACAGGGACTTCCTGGGGCGGTGGCAGTGCGGCGAGGGCGAGTGGAGGGAGCCTTGCAGGTGAGCGGGCAGCCAAATATGCGGCGTGTGAGCTCGCAAGCGGCGGGCAAACATTTGCAGTCTCGTCAGGTTGAGATGCAGGGCGCTATTCTGAAGCCGCCGCGGCAGTAAATCCAGCAGCGCTTGCAACCGTGACGTGCATGTTCCATGCGGGTGTGCCTGGCTGCCACAACAGGCCGGGCTACAACCAGACCGGCGCGGACGGCACCTGCACCCAGGCGTGCCCGCCGTGGCTGGTGGACTGCGGCCGCTTCTGCGCGTCGCCGAGGGCGGGCTGCGACACGCCCCCGCGGGACCTCTGCCAGCTGGGGGCCCTCAACGGCTGCACCACGCCAGACAGGTGCGTGGGCCGTAGCAGGAACTGCAGGGGGCAATGGGGCGTGGCACGCCCAAAGATTGCTCTGCCCGCACCCCTATGAATTGCAGTCTGCTGCCGGGCAGGGGGTCTGCGCAGGCACGCTTGGATGTCTTGGTCAGCCACGGACTGCCCGGCTCACGCGTGACGCGCCTCCTCAGCTTCCGGCGTCGCCGCCCCTCGCCCATGCAGGGCCCAATCGATGCTAACCACTGCATGCGTGGCCGAGGGCTACCGCTCAACGGAGAACTGCCCCCTGGCCCTGCACCTGCACGGCGGCTGCGGGGGGTCGCGGCTCATGCTGGCCAGCGGGCTGCGCGCGCAGGTGGGCGGGGGGCGCGGGGCGCGCAGGGGCTGAAGTGCTGGCTTCCGGTCGCTGGCCTCCAGTGCTGGTGATGTGCTCATGCCAGCCCTGGGTGCGCTCTCAGCGGGTGCCACACGCGGCATGACTCGCAGGGCAACGTTGTACGATTAGAGGCTTGGTGGGAGGGCGGCCGGCGCGCGGCAACGGCGGCAGGGGCGATGGCAAGCCAGCGGCATGGAGGGGCGCCTCAGGGAGGCGATCGGCGGCGCCTACTAATGAGCGACGCGCAGCAGCAGCAGCTCGTGCAGCAGCAGCAGCGGCAGCAGCAGCAGCAGCAGCGGCAGCAGCAGCAGCAGCAGCAAGAGGAGACGCGCCTGGTGAACTTCCTGCCGCACACCCAGATGCCGACATTCAGAGAGCCGAAGGAGACGGTCCTGGTGGCCCTGCGCATCACCTTTGCGCGCGGGCTCTCGCAGGTGAGGGCCGCGGGGCGCCGGCGGTGTCTGACGCGCGCAACATGGAGCAGCGGCCGCGAATGCGCCTATCAGGGGACTGCCTGTGCACGGGCCCGCGCGTCGCGGGCGGCAGCACATAAGGGGATGCATGCACTGCGCGTCGTGCAAATGACTAGGATGTCTGGGGCTGGCGCCCGCAGGTCCTGGGCAATGAGACGGCGGCGCTGGCGTCCTCGCCGCGCGCGAGCTACGCGTTTTCGGACGGCGAGGCCATCGAGCGCCTCACGATCTGGAGCAGCGAGCGGTCGCTCGACGGCGCCGCGGTGACGCCGCTGGTCGGCGGGCTCAGCTTCACGACCAGCAGCAGGGGCGCCTTCATAGCGGGCGAGCCGCCGAGCGGGCCGCCGCTGGTGCCGGTGGCGCGGCCGGCGGCTGCGGCCGGCAGCGGCGGCACGGCTTCGGCTTCGGCGGCGGCGGCAGCGGCAGCGGCGGCGGTGGATCCGGATCGGTTAGACCTCGCGCTCGTAGGTGGCAGCAACATCACGTTGTCCGGCGCCGCGCTGAACGGCGGCGTGCTGGTCGGCGCAGGCGCGTTCACCAGCGGCAGCGCGCTCAACGCGCTCGGGTTTGTGTTCATGCGCGGCGGGGGGCGGGACAGGACGGAGCTGTGATCTGGGGGGTTGCTGGGTGGCGGCGGCGACGGCTGGCGTTTGACGTCGGCCAGGCTGCGAAGCACTGCCACCCTCGTCTCATGTGCCGCTGCTTATAATGTGTGTTCACGAACCGCTTGCTTGGTCCGCTGTGCTGCGTGCGCGTTAGCCCCATCATAGTGCTTTGATTGAGACGAGCTGTTTTTACTGCAGATAAGTGCTAGGGCTCCAGCAACGGCATGCGGCGCATGTCTCTATAGATGAGTAACCGTGATTCGCTGACTTGCTTACAGGCGTGTAATGCTACATGTAGACGAGGGATCGTGAGGATGAGCTGGCGCAGCCACATGCGCTGACCACCATCAGCACGGCATGGGAAGGTCTAAGGACACAAATACATGCGGCATGCACACCACAAAGAACACGAATTAAAAACCGAGGATCTGGCCTACACATTGAAAGGGGGCTTATGAGACAGCAGGCAGCAGAGGCGATGGCTGGCGTGGTTCAAACACAGGATTCAGCCTCGCGCTGGGACAAATAGCCACCAGGCCTGCTGCACTTGACGTTGCGCCAAAACACAGGGGCACTGCACAAATAATCAGACTCGAGCCTCTCTGCTTGTAAAGGAATGCTCACAAGCGCTTGAATACAGCGCCGTAAAAATTCAATGCCCACTCTTGGGCGGCGCCCCCCACAGAGCCCTGCCCTGCCTTCCGGCCGGCGCCCACGACAGCGGCGTGCCGACAGGCGCTGCGCCTGGCGGCCGCTGCGCAGCTGCCCCCCTGCTCTCGGATTGCGAGCGCGCCAGGCCGTGCGCCGCGGGCGGCCTGGCGCCGGGCAGCCTGGCGGCTGCTGCAGGCAGCTGTGGCCCCGGGCCACGGGCGGCAAAGCCTGCCGCTTGCAGCGAGCGTGGCTGCCATCTGCTGACCGCTGCAGCCGCCGCCGCGCCGCCGCCGCCGCTGCGGGCCTGGATGACCAGGCCAGACGCTGCCGTGGCCCCCGCCGCGGCGGCTGCGAGTGCGCGGCCGCCGCTCCAAGAGCGGCTCAAGCTAGCCTCGACACCAAACCGCTCGCGCCCGCCGCAGCCTGCGTTCATCTGCGCCGCCGCTGCCGGCCGCGGGCCGCCGGACGCGCTGCCACCGCCTTGGAGGCCCAGAGTCACGCGCGTCCGTGCGCCAATACCCCCAGCCACGAGGTCGACCCACCCGCCGTGCTCATCCAAATGCGCATAATATGTGATTCGCCGTTGCCCCTCTTGCCCCGCGATCAGCACACCGCCCCCGTCTGGGCAGACGGAGACAACGCCGCCCGTCCGCACCGCCGCCGCGCGCCAGCACCGCGCGGCCGCAGCTGCTGCGGCCGCGGCCTCGGGGCTGTCTGGCGGCGCGGCCGGCGCGAGGCGGCAGGCGCGGCCGCCGAGGCCCGAAACAAGAGCAGTCAGAGGGAGTGAGCCGTCTGCCGCCAGCCGGAACGAGGGCGACGCGGCACCGGCGGCGGCACCGCTGTCGCTGGCGCCGCGGCCTGGCGCCGGCGGCACGGCAGCGACGGCTGCGGCGGCGCTGCTTGGGTTTGCTGCGGGTCTGCTCTGGCCTCCCTGGCTGGTGCGCGCAGCGGGGGTGCGGGCGCGACAGCACACCTGTGGGGGTTCGCCTCCAGCTGCACGACACCAGGTCTGACTTCTGTCGCATGTCAGTGCGCTCTGCCCCTCTGCATGGCCGGCCGCGGCGCCATAAATGGCGCTGCTGCTGCTGCTGCTGCTGCTGCTGATGCTCCTGCTGCTGCCGCCGAGCGCAATCGCACACTGGCTCCCTTTGACGTCGGCGGGGTTGGAGATCGTGCTGAACAAGTGGCTGATTTTGGAAGGCACTGCCTGGCTGCCGACGCCACTGCTGTCGCTGTCACGGGAGGTGCCGTTGCCGAGCTGCGGCTGCAGCGGCGCTGGTGGCGTGCCAAACCAGAACGCGTCAAAGATGTCCAGTGCTTCTGCTGGGGCGCTCTGCCGTGCAGGACCCACGAAGCTCATCACCCAACTTATATCGTTGGCCCTTAGCCTGGGTGCCGATGCCCCTCGTGGGGCATGCACGGGGACAACCTCGTGCTCCCGTTGAGTCTTGGCCGTACGCACGTGAAAATTTATATGATCGTCGGAGGTCAAACGGTCCGCTTCATAAACTAATCGATGCGTCCCTGACTGCCGGTGCTGTGCTTCCTTTGGGCTTGGCGGCGCCAGCAAGGACAAATGGCTGGGCCCTGATGCATCTACTTTTGGCCACGTGGCCAGGCACGCGGGGGAGCGCAAGGGCGCAATAATGATGAAAGTAGGATTCACACTTTCTGACACACGAAATCACCTCGAGACATAATGCAGGCATTACAGATACCCCCCAAGCACCGAGTCATGCCCGTCAACGCGGTCAGAGGGAAAGCCAAGCTTCCCACGCACTCAAGGGAACCAGGCGCGCCAGCCAGCAGCCCCTGCAGCCTCTTGGCACAGAGTGTGGTAGCCTGGTCACTCAGGCCCTTCTCAGGGGCTGCTTGACTCTGAATAGCCTGCCGCTTGCCCCAAACAAGGCGGCGCAGCCGCCAAGTTGATCACATACTGTCACCTGGGTTTCTCACGCAGGAGAAAGACGCGGGACTCGTGCCCCGACGATTATGCGAAGGTTTCTGACTACTGCCATTAACTACGAAGCTGCTGAAACTGACGCAGCACTGACCAGGGCCAGGTCTAGCGCAAGTGGCGCGGCGCAGCCGTTTGACGGAAAGCAAGCAGCCTCGCATCCACAGAGTGCCGTGAAGCATGCTTTGAAAAGCTGCCGTCTTGCACAGCTTTGAGCCAAGGCACAGGTAGGGTCGCCTGCACATGTAGATGACTGCGTCATTTGCACCGAGGTTCCCCACCAGCTTCATCCGATCTGAGCAGTCTGCTGCTGCCAGTGCAGCTCATTTTCAAACGGGCTCAGCGTCAATTCAGGGCGCACCACCTCAATCGGCATAAAAGGTTGCTTTCTTGGATTACAGAGCTACGCAATTGCGTCGAAAGAGTCAAGGCAAGTGCCGTAAGTTTCTGAGGAAACATATTCAGCCTCGGAGCAGCAGGGAAGTCGGCTTGCTGGCAGCTGCCACTGCATTCCAATGGCTGATACGGAAGACAAGCAAGTGACATGGGGCGCGTGTGCACGTCGTACGTACAAGCAAGCACGCCATGGTTGCAGCTGTCCAGATGAACGTTGTTGCGATGCCATTCGGCGCTGAGAGCGCCTCACAGTCACCGCCGCCGCTTGGCTGGCGACGTGGCTGCACTGGGAACCACATCTGCCGGCTCAACGTGTGTTGGTGCGCCGGCCGTGATGGGGTGGTCGTGTGCGCCAGGCAGGCAAGTGCAGCAACTCAAGAAGTGGTATTAGTCGGCCGTACATCCGTCGGCAGCAATGCACAGGTGTCCAAGCAGCAGCGCCGGCGTACACGGCGCACAAAGGGGCGGCGCCGCAAAGCACAGGTGGGAAAACAGACAGGGCTGTGCTACCCGCTGCAGCGGACCCTGGGGATGGGATTCCAGCCAAAGACGAGCGAAAGACAGCGCGGGGCAACCATAACAAGGACACAGCTCGTGTGTGATTTTTAGTGCAGTGCGCTAGGTAAGACCTCTTCGGAGGAAAATTCAGGGCGGCTGCCTGCATGCGTTCTGGGCGGCGTTGGGAAAGCGTCGTTGGTTGCAGCCGCGCAGCGGAAGACCGCGCAAGGGGGCGCGATTGGTATCCAGAACGGTCGTGTTATTGATGCTGGAAGGTCGGCTGGGCCGGGGAAGGAAAGGGACAGCAGTTCGCGAGGAAACAGATGGGAGGGACGGCGCGAGAAGCGGCGTCCAATCAAAGCCCACATGCTTTGAGTGAAGGATCTGGCAGCAGGGGCCCATGGCCCCCTCGCGTCCCTGTGCGCATTGCGTGTACTCCTGAGACAAGTGCTGAGGCGCCTTCCACCAACAGACGTTGGGGCGTGCGTTCAGAAACCCCACGTGCCGCGACGCCCCAAAACGACAGGGCAAATTGCCGAACCTCTCAGGACTGGAAAACCAAATATTGCAGCGGTTGAAAAGCTGCAACCCGCAGGTCAGTCAGAGAAGCCTACTCTCGACAGCAGCCCCGCATTGGCCTTGTGAGCGGCCGGCGCGATCCCGCCTTTTGAGGGCCGGCGTCGCTCAGGCCTTCATGAGGCGGCGCGTCATGTGGCGCTTTTTCGGGACGTAGGCGTCCACGTTGCAGGCGGCCTGGGCTGTGAGCGGCCAGATCTTAGGGACAGTCTCGTACTGCTTCGGCCTGAGGGGGGAACGGGAGAGCAAGGAGTGTGGGGCGCGAGCGGGGTGGTCAGCAGGGCTGTTGTAATACAGTAACAGTATATTACCGCGCCAGCTGCGTACTCAAGCAGCGACGGGGCTGGCTGGGGACGGGGGCGACCGGCGAGCGCTTGCAGGTGGTCAGCGGACGGTCAGACCGTCACGCGTGCGGCCTGGCGGCGCCACGGGCGCGGGGCGCGGCGGCGAGGCGGCCGGGCGCTCACCGCTTGTTCTCTGTCAGGAAGATGGCGCTGAACCCGTTGGCGGCCATGTCGGTCATGACGGCCTCGACCTGTTTCTGGGAGATGTCCTCCGGCACGGAGTGGATCGATGCGACGCAGCGCACGCCCTTGTCCTTGCAGGGGCAGTCGATCATCTTGGCGGCGGAGAACTTCTGGTAGGTGTCATAGGTATCCTCCCAACCGTTGACAAAGCCGATCTGGGGGGGCGGGTCGTTTGAATGGTTGTTTGAATGTTTTGGAGGGGTCACCCGTGAAGCGGTCGGCGTGCGTTTTGTGGGGGCCGAGGCAGCGAGGTGACGGAAGGCAGCGAGGCGGACGCGCGCGGTCGGCAGCCGAGGGTGACAGGCGAGCGTGCGGCGAGCGGCCCGCGCGCGTTCATCACCCCGGCTCCGCCCACCTTGTTGTCGGCCATGAACTTGCACTCGTTGAAGCTGCGGCCCGGGTTGAGCATGATCATCGCGTCACCAACCCCGAGGACGCTGCACTTGCTGCGGATGGCGTCGACGACCTTCTGATAGTAGTCCTTGAGGCACACCTTGTCCTTGGGGGCGCAGGTGAGGTCCTCCGCGACCTGGTCGATGAAAACGCCGCGCACCGACCTACGGTAGCCGTTGATCGCGTCGCACCAGCGGTCGACGTCCTCCAGGACCGCGTCCAGGGGGCGGCGGCCGTAGTCTGCGGCGGTGGCGGCAGCGGGGGGTGTGGGGCGCGGCGTGAGCGCGAGCGCTTGCGACGGCGTGCCTGGGTGAGAGGCCCCCCCGCCGCATGCATTGTTGTGCCACCGCCGGCTGCTTCGCTTGATCGGCACACATCATCGGCTTTAGGTGCCCAGGCCTCCGCCATGCGGCAGACGTATCACATATCAAGATAAAGGCATGGTCGGTATCAAGCCCCAAACCTCCAAGCAGCCGGGGCCCTTGCTGCTGCCTGGGCGGCCTCACCAGTGTAGATGTAGCCAAAGGGCTGCCAGTCGCCGGCCTTGTAAAGATAGTCGAACCGCCGCTGGTACTCGTCAGAGCGCGCGTCCTGGCCGGGGCTGAGGACGTTTTTGAGCGGCGGCGGGCGCGAGGTCGGGCCCGTGAGGATCGCGCCCTGGAAGCTGCGCGCCAGGCACTTGTTGCTAGAGACGCTGTCAATAAACCTGGGAGGCAGGCCAGGAGCGGGGGGCAAGAGGGCACAGCAGGGTTGAGACGGGATGTGTGTGTGTGTGTAAGGGGGAACGTGTGTGTGTGCGTGTATGTGTGTGTGTGTGTGTGTGTGTGTGTGTGTGTGTGTGTGCGCGCGCGCGCGCCAGGGGCGACCCCCAGGTGCGTGTTCCGGAGGTGGGAACGAGCTCGGGGCGGCGGTGCTAGCAGAATGGGGCTTCTATGGGGGAGCGCCTCACTTGGCATACTCGTCGTCGCGGCTGGGGTTGAGCTTGTAGTACAGGGGCGACCACAGACCCATCTTGTTCTGGGCTGTGGGTGGGGATGAGGGTGAGGTGGGGTGCGAACCAGCTTCAGAAAGGCTTACCAAGCTGAACGCCAGCAGGCAGTGGACAGACGTGCGCAAGCCGGCCCGCATCCGCGCCCGCCACTGCCAGACATAGTGCCGGGCTGTCCTGCGGGCATGAACAGTGCCCAGCCTGCTGCAACATCGCATTATCGTCGTGCGAGGGGCTGGCACACGCATGATGTGGCTGTGGCCCCGCTGCTGTGGCCGCACCTGATGCGACGGCAGCACCCATCAGCAGCAGCAGTGCGAGCCGCATTGTGAGTGTTTTTGTTTATCTCCTTGCAGTCGGGGAGCCTCTAGCCCGTCGTTTCGACAACACAATGGGGCCACAGCGGGGCAAGGTGGAGTGAGAGTGACAGCTGATTTGTCTGTCTCAAAACGATTGAAATGTGGTACAGAAGGTGATTCGCTCCTGTTTTGAAGGAAACGGAGCTTTCGCACCATCCCTCATTCAGAATTCGCGGTCACCCCCGGCCGGATCCTTATCAACGGCTGTGAGCAAGTGGAGTTGGTATCAAGAGGTTGTAATAGTTGCATATGTGCGGAATTTACGGCCCTGACACGACTTCATGGTGCAGGCAGGGTTGCAGAGGGCAATCCAGAAGTTCGGTATGATGACTGCTTCCTCGGATCGCAGAGGTGGGCGTGTGGACAGGAGAAACAATTTCCAGTTGCCAGATCCCTACAAAATTTAGGTGATACCTGTTCCTACTAGGAGTCTTCCAGCGGTGTACAGCCGGCATCCTGCTGTTGCAACCCCCACTGCAGCTGCTGCTGCTTCTACTGCTGCCAAGAACACACTGCTGCCAAGAACACACATGATGGCGCCAGACTGGTGAATCCGTAAGGACAGCATCATGCCGTACCATCAGAAAATGGCCTCAGTGCAAAGCGAACAGCTCTTGAAGTCCACCAAGCGGCTGTCAAGATGCCGTGCAGGCCGTTCCGCTGACACTGAGGCAGTTTCACAGCTGCCCGCAAAACTCTGGACGGCCGGCAGCGGGCGCCGGTTGGTTGCACAGTGGCACCAAAGGGTGAGCCTTTTGGCCCCCTACAACAACGCTTCCTGCGGATGGCGAGCAGCAACAGCAGAGCCTGACGATGTGTTGGAATGGCTATTTGTCGATGCTCCGTGACCGGGCTCGACGCCGGCACGCCGTGAAATTCATTGGCAATGGGCCGCAACCCTGTGGCGGAGAGCAGGTCATTTGTGGACGTTTCCTTGATCCGTGTCATCACAGCCAATCACCAAACGCTGGGGTTTCAGGGTTTAAGGATCGCAAATCAAGCGAGTCCGTGCGGATGCAGGGTCCCTAAGAGCCCCTTCAAGCCTGTTGCACTGCAACGGGCTGGCAGCCCTGCGCAACAGAGCGGCAGGGCGCCGGCCGGCCGTCATTCCTGAAGTGCCGAGGTTAGCGGACAGCACAGGCCGACCAATGCCCATTTTTATAGCCTGCAGGCAGAAGTACCAACAAGTCAGCACACAAGTCAAGTCAGCACACCCTTGCAAGAGTTTGTGCTGGCTGCCAACCCCACTGCTGCGCTGGACAAGCCAAGGCCCTGTGCGGCCTAAACGAAAGCCGCTTTACACAACTGCCACCTTACTCTTGCCGCCGACGCCACCCCCTCCTGCCGGCCCAGCGCCGGCGGCGGCCTGCGCCGCACCCGCGGCCTCCAGCCGGGCCCTGGAGCCCTTTGCCACGTACCCGCCCCCTTGCTGCCGCGCCCGCACGGCCGGGTCGAACGCCGCCTGGATCTCTGTCATGCGCCGCAGCGGCGCCACGAGCGCCTCGAAAAGCGCGTCCCCGCTGTCCTCGCCCCCCGCGCCCCTGGGAACCGCCGCAGCTTTTGACCCCGAGCGAGTGGCGCCGTCGCCACAGCTGCTCTCAATCGCGGCGGCGGCCGGCCTGTGATTGGTCAGCTGCTGGTCGCCGCTCCCCTCCGCCTTGGCAAACGCGGCTTCCAGGATTGCAACCACGCGCGCTATGGCCTCGAATGACGTCATGGCGCCCTCCCATGGCTCCGTCCGCAGCTTGTAAGCGGGGCCTGCTGGCGCGCCGCCGCCCTCGCCACCAGCGCCCATGCCCGCCCCACAGGTCCCCGAGGTGCCGCCGCTGCCCTGCGTTCGATCTGACTGCTCGCATCCGGACGCGCCGCCGCCGCTGCAGCTGCCGCCGGTGGTGCCCCCAATGGCGCCGCCGCCTCCCGTGGCGGCGCCGCCAGGAACGCCCCCGCCCCTGCCACCGCCGCCGCCGCGACTGCCGCCATCGCCTGCGGCGCCGCCGCCGGCCGGCGGCAGCTGCACCTGCAGCGCTGCTCCGCCCCTGGCCGGCGCGAAGAGCGCCTGCCGCGACGCCTTGAACATCTCGCAGGCTTCGCGCCAGGTGCCGTCTATAGCCAATAGGATGTATGCTGGCTCAGGCAGATTGTCCTCCTCCCCTGCTTTTGGCTGCTGCCCTGCCGCTGGTGCCCTCGTGGCAAGAGCTCCCTCCCCTGCGGCTGGTTCCTCCCGTGTTGACCCCGCTGGTCTCGCTGCTGGCTCCCGCCCTGGTGTCGACTCAGGCCCTTCCAGAAGCTTGTGCCGCGCAGGCGCGAGCGCAGACGCCGGTTGTGAGTGTTCTTCGCCTGCGGCTGTGCTGCGGCCGCTGCCGCGGTTGCTTCTGCTGCTGCTGCTGCTGCTGCTGCTGCTGCTGCTGCTGCCGCCGTTACTTCTGCTGCTGCTGCTGCTGCTGCCGCAACCTTTGTCACCGGACAAGGGTGCGGCGTCCGCTGAGGCGGCCAGCATCGTCTCTGGTGCACTTTGCCCACTCCACGGCCTGCCCTCGGCTGCCTGTGGTGCCGAGACAGCCTGGATCCGCCCCCGCCGGTGGCGGGCGGCCAGGGCTGCCTCGTGAGCCGCAGACCTGATGTCAACAGCATCTGCAGGTATGATACAAGATGAGGATCCAGGAAATACGAAGTTTTCCAATGATGTGTTGTTATTGTTCAACACAGTATTAAGACCAGCAGGTGGTTTGCCAACCAGACACGTCAGCGCGCCCGCGCACGCGCCAGGGCCCGCATGCTCGCCCCGGCGGAGCCCTGTGTCGCGCGCCCACCTGGCCCGGGAAACAGCACGAAGAACGGGGTGCCGCTGCCCTCTGCGCGAGCCAGCAGCTCCAGTAGCTCTGGGCTCCTGCTGGCCTGCGGGGGGCAAGCGACGGGCGGCGGTCGGCGGTCGGCGGTCGGCGGGCTGCGGGCGGATCGGCGGCGGGCGGGAGGCGGTTAGGTAAGCGTTGCTTGTTGCAGGTGCTGCATGGTGATAACGGGCGGCCCAGGGTTGACAGGACTATGCGCAGTGATGCGAAGCGCGAGATCTGCGTGCTTTCCAAAAGCCGCACGTACGCTCTGTTGATTGAGGCGGCGCGCCCGACACCCGGCGACGCGGCGCACCCTGCGGCCGCGCAGCAGCAGGAACCGCCCTAGGCACAGGCGCAGCAGCGCGGCGGTGCTCAGCCGCCGCTTCGCCTCGTTGGGGTGCTGCAGGACGACCACGCGCCCCGCCGTCGCCAGCGGCCGCGGCGGAAGCGCGTCGCACAGGCAGGCCCTTGCCGGGCGGCCGCAGCGGCCGCAGGTGCAGCGTTTCAGCGGCTGCGGCGCGGGCTCTCTTTGGGGCTCAGGTGGGTCAGGCGCTGTGTCTGAAGTCGCCATCTGGCAGACGATGGGAGAGCGGCGTTTGCGCCGCTGTAGGGCGCACCGCCTCTGTGCTGGCACTTGCCGCGGGCGTCACTAGCGCTGCTGGTCAGCTGCACCGCATTCGTAGCATTCGAGAAAGCAGCAAATCGGCCACGCAAGCTTGAAGTAGAAGATACCCCACAGATAAAAATGCCGCTTTTTATTGACTGCAGATCGGAACCCGATAGAGTGACTTGACACGCTCTTATACTTGGCAGACGAGTGCGGCATGCATTCTGATGCTCGGTGCCTTGCGTTATACTTTGATCAACACGAGTGTGCAGCTGTCCCGCCTGATCATCTCGCCACAGATCTGCGAAGCTCTTTCCCAAACGAGCAAGCAATCATCCGGGGAGTGGAACCTTACTCAGCGCAGATTGTTACGCTTTGATATGATGATTAGCGCGCAAGCACCGCTGGGCGGTGCGCGACGACGCACGCCGTCCCTCCAGCAGCGTTTCGGCGCCCCATGCAATTCGCGGCCCGCCAGGCAGACGCACCCCTACACCGCCGCCGCCCGCCGCGCGCCGCACGTCTGCGCCGTCGTTGCCACGGACACGCAACCGGCGTGGCAGCAGCGGCAGGAGGCGGGGGCCGTGGGGCACGCCTGCACGCCCTCAGGCCCCGATCCCAGCGGCGGTGCAGCACCGGCACATCAGGTCACCTATCTGCAGGTGTGCTGCTTGCGGGACGCCCCCCACACACTCGCGTGCGCAGCCGGCTAGGGTAACCGCCCTCACATACACCGACGTCTCCGTGCGCGGGCCTATGAAGCACAACCCAACCACTCTGGCGCGCCAGACCGTCATGCCTGAGTTGCCCAAACACTAGGCTGGCCCCACCCCACCCCAAACGTCTCCTTCTTGCACTCTTGCCCCCACTGCGCTGCCCCGGGGCCTGCTACCCCGCCGGCTCGCCCCGGCATCTGCTCGGGCGCTTCCCTCACCGCCGCCACCAAGCCGCCTGGCGCCGCCCCCATCTCGCAAGGCTGCACTCATCGCCCAAACTCCCACACCAAACCGCCGCTTAAACCCTGATCCGGGACCCACCTCAGGAGCTTCGAATCCAGGACTTTGCGCTGGTCTCAAAACAGACCGTGAAGTTCACACCCGGCCTCAACGCCATCACCGGCGAGTCGGGGTCTGGCAAGTCTGTACTAATCGAGGCCCTCGGGCAGCTGCTCGGCAACCCCGCGCCCCCCGAGTGCGTGCGGGCGCCCGCGACGTCAGCGGTGGTGGAAGGAACAATCCTGCTGTCGCCAGCGGCGGCGCGGCGCGTGGCGGCGACGGGCGCGGCGATGGGGCTGCCGGCGCGCGCGCTGCCGGCGGGGGGCGGGGACGGCGGCGGGCCGGCGACGCTGGTGCTGCGGCGGGAGGTGCGCGAGTGCTTGATCGCTTGCGCGTATGCATATGCTCGGTTTGGAACGCAAGAAGCCATCACGTGCATACATGCATTCATGCACATGCACATGCGCGTATGCATAGGCAGGTGCAGGCGCATGGGCAGGTGCACGGGCACGTATGCGATTGCAAAACCAGTGAGGGCAGCGGGAGCATTCTTACGCTTGATAATTGGCAAGCACGGTGGCACCCCCTCCGGGCGTGCACGCCGCCTTGCTGCAACAGCGGCCCCAGAGTGGTCCATTTCAGCAAATCATGTCAGCGGACCGCGATGCCTTGAACCGCAATGCCAACGCCTCAGGGCCATTACCCTGCAAGCCCAGCCACCTGAAACCACCCCCACTCCACAACACGGGCCACCCCCAGATCACCACACTCCCCGTCGGCGACGCCCCGCCGCCGCCGCCCGACGCGCCGCCCGGGCAGCGCCTGCTGCGCAGCCGCTGCTTCGTCAACGGCGCCACGACCAGCCTGCGCGTGCTGAGGGCGGTCGCGGGGGACCTCGTGGATACCAACGGGCAGCATGCGGCGGTGGGGCTGCGGGACGGCGGCACCCAGCTGGCGCTGCTGGATAGGATCGCGGGTGAGAAGGGTGCGGTGCGCGGGGGCGCAGGGCTCGGGCGGGGCTGGCCGCAGGCGGCTGGTGGGGCCGGCCTGCTGCATCAGGCGCCGCGGACTGGCCGACAGCGAGGCTACCAGGAAAGTGTGCGGAGCAGGGGCCCTTGAGAGCGGCTTTTGGGGGAGCGCGGCCGCGCTGATACGTCGTCGGCGCCTGGTTGGGACAGCGCGCCCGCGCCCTGCGCGGCCTGCCTGAGCGGCTGGGCTCCGCCGGCCCGTCGACGGGCGCCGCCGCGCCGCGCCGCGTCACGGCCTCCACCTTGGCCCCCGCCGCAGCCCGCTCCGCCCGCCCGCGCGCAACGATTGCCCGCGCAGGCAACTCCGCGCTGGCTGCCTGCGTAGCGTCGCGGCAGGCGCGGCTGGCGGCGCTGCAGGAGCTGCTGCGGGGGCTGGACGCCCTGGGTGATGAGGGGGAGCGCGCCCGCATTGAGAAGCTGGTGGCGCTGGTGACCAAGGCCGCGGTAGAGCCGGGTGGGCGCGTGTGAGCGTGTGTGACAGTATAGAAGAGAGAGAGAGAGAGTGTGTGTGTGGGGGAGCATGAGTGTGTGTGTGTGTGAATGTGAATATTGTCGCAGTTTTGTGTGTTTCAAAATATGCAGGTGGGCGTGCGTATGGCAGTGGTTTGTGTGCGTGTGCCCGTGTGTGTGTAAGTGTGTGTGCTCGCGCGTGCGCGCGTGTGTGTATGTGCGTGCGTGTGCGTGCGTGCGTGTGCGTGCATGCGCGCGCGTGCGACTGCGGGCGGAAACCCCCAAGTCTTCGAGCCAATGTTGCCCGAACCTTCGCCACATACCCCAGGCGAGGAACGCCGGCTGCGCGCCCAGCTGCGGTCGATGGAGAGCCGCAGGGCCTCGCTTGAACAGGTGGGGGCCCGCGGGTGGCCTGCGGTGGGGACCGCCGGTGGCTGCCTCGCAGGGCCTCGTTTGGGGCTGACCAGGGGTGCGAGCGGTCGTCCCGCCCCACGTGCCCCCGACCTGGGCGCCGCTCGCTCTCACCCGCCATCCCCTCAATTCGGATCGGCGCCCTTTGTCAGCGACGGCGGGGCTATGCTGCCCTGACTTGGCCCCTTCTCACCCCAATGATCGCGCGCTTGCAACCCTCAATGTTTTGGTGTGGGGGCCCCAGGGCCCACCCGCCCGCGCCCCCTGTGCCCGCCCCTTGAGCACCCCCCGACCCCGCCGCCCCCATGGCCGCCGCGCAGTCCGCGCTGCTGCGCTCCGCGATCCGCGGCGAGAGCGGCGGCGGCGGGCTGCTGGACGGGCTGCGGACTGTGGCGGCGCAGCTGTCGGGGCTGGTGGCGGCGGAGGAGGGGC